AAACCATTGTTGTTGTTGTTGTTGTTGTTATGTGCCATCGAGTTAGACCCGACTCATAGCAACCCCTCCTTGGGTTTCTGAGGCAGTATCACTATGGAAGTAGATGGCCCCATTTCCTTCTGAGGAGTAGCTGGTGGGTTTGAACCACCAGCCTTCTGGTTAGCAGTTAAGTACCTTAGGCACTACGCTACCAGAGAAAACCATACTATTTATAAAAAGCCCTGCAAATGATCCATTTGTTGTTGTTGTTAGGTGCCATAGAGTCATCTCCAACTCATAGAGACCTCATGTACAGCAGAACTAAACACTGACCAGTCCTGTGCCTTCCCCATGATCTTTGCTATACCTGAGGCCATCGTTGTAGTCATTGTGTCAATCCATCTTTCTGAGGACCTTCCTCTTTTTCATTGTCCCTCCACTTTGCCAAGCATGATATCTTTCTCCAGGGAGTGGTCCTGTCTGATAACTTGAGTGCTGCTTCCATTGGTGTCAATGGTAGAACCAAGCAATGTGAAGTCTTTGACAACTTCAGTCTTCTCTCCATTTATCATGATGCTGCTTATAGTTCCAATTGTGAGGATTTTTGTTTTCTTTATATTAAGATGTAATACATAACGCAGATTGTAGTCTTCAATCTTCATTAATAAATGCTTCAAGTCATCCTCAATTTCAGCAAACAAAGTTGTGTCATCAACATATTGCAGGTTGTTAATGCTTCTTCCTCCAATCCTGATGCCATGTTCTTCTTCATATAGTTCAGCTTCTTGGATTATCTGCTCAACATACAGATTGAACAAGTATGGTGAAAGGATACAACCCTGATGCACTTCTTTCTTGATTTTATACCATGCAGTGTCCCTTTGTTCTGTTCAAACTATAGCCTTCTGGTCTATGTACAGGTTCCTCATGAGTACAATGAAGTGTTCTGGAATTCCCATTCTTCTCAATGTTATCCACAATTTGTTATGATCCACACAATTAAATGCCTTGCATAGTCAATAAAACTCCAGTAAACATCTTTCTGGTATTCTTTGCTTTGAGCCATGATCCATCTGACATCAGCAATGATATCCTTCCTTCTATGTCCTCTTCTGAATCCAGCTTGCATTTCTGGAAGTTCTCTGTCAATATACTGCTGCAACCGTTTTTGAATTATCTTCAGTAAGATTTTACTTGCATGTGATATTAATGATATTGTTCAATAATTGAAGTGTTGAACAGTCTTAGTTTTTTGTTTTAAGAAGTAGTTACTTGACTAAACTCGATTTCCAAACTCTGGCAAAATCTATATTCATGTATTTGAATTATGGCTGGATTGTTTGAATTCTTCCCTGTGCATGCACAGTTCGGTAATCTGTGTATCGAAAAGAATATAGATAGATGCATTGGAATTCTCCTTTTGTGCCTTTCATTTCTGGGATATTCCCCTCTTGCTTCACAGCTGATAACATTGCCCCAATTTTTGTCCTCCATTTCTTCAAGAAAGTAAGACTCTAGTGCTGTTTGAGTTTCAGCCATTGAGTAGGACCTTTTCTCAGGGGGGAAATAATCCTACAAAACCAGTAAACTCATTCAGTGCCAATCTCTTCTTCCATGTCTACATTGCCATCAAGTTTCTGCCTGTTTTTGGTTTTTCTGCAATGCCTTCAGGTAGTTGTTCCTATATATATATATATATATATATATATTTTTTTTTTTTTCCCCTTATTTTCTTTTTTCTAGTTTATAGTTGTTATTTGCAAGAGGATTGTTCTGATAGGAGCTATTTTTCCATTACTGGAAACTGAATAGAGTGTTAAAACTAGCTGAAGATTTTAACCATATTAAGAACAGTTTCTACTGTATCTAGTAGTCCTAAGGTTGCTGGTTACTGATCAGCCCTAGTATAAAAGATACATCCAGATTATTCGAGACTAATCCAGATAATAAGAAGCTTTGGTGGTGCAATGCCTAAGGCATTTGACTACTAATCAGAATGTTGATGGTTCAAACCACCAGCCAATCTGTGGAAAGAAGATAAAGCAATCTACTTTGTAAAGATTTACAGCTTTGGAATTCCAGTGGGGGTCATTAAGAGTCAGAATGGACTCCATGGCAGTGGGTTTGGTTTGGTTTTTTGGTTTAGTTCAGATAAATATTGTAAATTCAGATGCTTTCAAAACAAACCAGACTAAACTCTTGGCCAAAGACCAACATTCAGATAAGGAAGTCAAACAGACCATTTAGGAATCTCTGCCTCCGTTCCCCACCTTAATTCTGTATATAGTCCTAAGGTAAGAATAATAAACCAAAACAAAAAAACCTCACTGCGATCAAATCAATTCCAATTCATAGCAAATCCCTTTGGATTTCCAAGGCAGTAAACCTTTATGGAGGTAGATTGTCCAGTTTTCCTTCTGCAGAGTGGCTAGTGGATTTGAACCACCAACCTTCTGCTTAATAGTCAAATGCCTTAGGCACTACACCACTGGAGTTCTTTAAGGTAAGAATAATATCTAGGCACAAACAATGAGAGAAATCTTTCTTGAACCAAAGTTGTGTCATTTCCAAATATTTCAGCACTCTGGCATACAAGGCTTGGTAGCCTTTGCTTTTCTTGTCCGTTTTTTTAAAAACATGAATATGTAAATAACTTCTTGCCAATTGTTGTCAGGTAAGCATGCTTCAGAACCCAATATTCCTCTCTGAAATGTCAAAATGGGTTGCTTTCCTTGTATTTCTTTTATCCAAACTTTCTGGCCACTGTTTTAATATTACTTGAGTTTTCTTTGTAACTCTCTTGACATCCCCTGATGTTAAATAATGGGCAAAATAACTTGTGTTTGAATTTTTCTTTCTAATCTTCTCCTTCTTATTTCCTTTCCTTGTCAGAAATCCTGTTTCATCCTTGGTCGTTTTTAACAAAGTATGTAAATGGGTGGGTTTGAACCACTGACCTTCTGGTTAGCAGTCTTACCCACTGTGCCACCAGAGCTCCTAGTAAGATTTCATTAGAGTTACAAAATTGTGAGACTGAATATTATTTTTCCTTTTAATTAGTAAAAATGTGTGAAGAAGCAATCTCACTTTTCTCATTGCTTTGCTAGTTCTGCATTCTTTTACAGTTCAACAAAACTATTTGAGACCATGATCCTGACAAAGTTTCTGGGACATAAGCCAGATTTTCAGCCTGAGCTTATTCATTATGTCCTTAATAATATTTAATAATAAAACAACTATTTGATTGAACCGAGAGAAGAATGTGCAAAATATGAGCAAAGCAAATAGAATGTTTTGATGAGAAGACACTTAATTTTACTTTGTTTTTCCAGCCTCACAAATCTGTTCTATTTTTAGTTAATACATCTATACCCAATGTCACAGAAGTAAAGGAGAACATGACATTTGGATCAACTTTAGTCACCAACCCAAATGGAGGGTTTCTGGTAAGAAAGAAAAGGGTAATAATATTTAATGACACCAGGAATGCTATCATTATAGCTCATTGTAAGATCTGTTCTATGCTAATCCTATATTGTTGTTTTTCTATCTTTTCCTTTTCTAAAGGCATGTGGGCCCTTATATGCCTATAGATGTGGACACTTACATTACACAACTGGAATCTGTTCTGATGTCAGCCCCACATTTCAAGTCGTGAACTCCATTGCCCCTGTAAAAGGTACAGATTTCATGAAGTATTCTTGCATTTATGAAAAGTGGTAAGCAATGAATGAGCATATTTATGTACAGAAGCATACCAAAAAGCTTGAAGTATTTACTCAGCTAGCAGCATTACCAATTTAAGTAAATTTTTGCTTTGCCAATATATAATCAACCTTCAATGCTATTTTTAGAATTGATATTTGTGTAAATAGGCTTTACAGAGCTGTGTTTAAACATCATTAGCTAAAGTTGTCTCTTTGCTTTTGTTTGGAGGGTGAGTCTCTGTGGAAAGCAACACTTTGGAAATGAGTACAGAATTAGAACTGTTACGTAAAAGACATGCTGAGAAAACTTCCAAAGATAATTTTTGTACAATTTTAGTGAAAATTAAGTAGAGGTTTTACTTTTTATTGTTTTTAACATAATGAGTACTTATCACCTTTAGTTTTCTAAAACTATTAATAAAGGCTTTGTGTTCACTTTGTATAATACCAGCTTATTCTTTCAAATGAGCTTCTTCCAGTTGTGGCAATGCTTCATATATCTCTAAAATGATAGAGTTAAATTTGCAAAAACTAATTCTTTTTGTTGCAGAATGTAGCTCTCAACTGGACATTGTCATAGTGCTTGATGGTTCCAACAGTATTTACCCCTGGGAAAGTGTGACTGCTTTTTTAAATAACCTTCTTGAAAGAATGGATATTGGTCCTAAACAGACACAGGTATGTGACTCTGCATATAGAGTTCTGTTGCTTCAAAGATAAAAAGTGAAATAGATTTTAATAAAATTAAGATGATCTGAAAACAAATTAATCAGTAATGCTAAAATTCAGGATAAATTTTATATTTCATATTCCTGTTACTTACTTCTGATCAAAGGACATAGCTGTAGTTTTTTAAAGAAACTATTATGAAAGCTGCCATTTTAAATGTTGTTGTTAGGTCCGACTCGTAGTGACCCTGTGTACAACAGAACGAAACATTTCCTGGTCCTGTACCATCCTCACAATCATTGCGATGCTTGAGCCCATTGCTGTAGCCACTGTGTCAGTCTGTCTTGTTCAGAGGCTTCCTCTTTTTCCCTGACCCTGTACTTTACCCAGCATGACATCCTTCTCCAGGGATTGGTCCCTTCTGACAACATGACCAAAGTAGGTGAGACAAAGTCTGGCCATCTTCACTTCTAAGGAACATTCTGGCTGTGCTTCTTCCAAGACAGATTTGCTCGTTCTTCTAACAGTTCATGATACATTCAATAGTCTCTGTAAACATCATGATTTAAATGCACCAATTCTCCTTTTGTCTTCTTTATTCATCATCCAGCTGTCACATGCATATGAGGCAATTGAAAACATCATGACTTAGATCAGGCGCACCTTAGTTTTCAAAGACAAAATGTGATTGGAAAAATCCCGTATAGACCTCTGTGAACTCATAACGTAATTCTTAATTACAAAAGAAGTACAGCAACTTTCGGTGGTATCAGATTAGAGTTTCAGAATTTGTGGAAACTATTATGACATTCCAAGGAGCCAAGGAGCTCTGGTGGTGTAGTCGTTAAGGCATTTGGCTGCTAACCAAAAGGTTTGTGGTTCAAGCCCACCAGCTGCTCCATGGAAGAAAGATGGGGCAGTCTGCTTCCATAAAGATTTACAGCCTGGGAAACCTAGTGAGGGTCACTTTGAGTTGGAATCAACTAGATAGCTATGAGTTTGGTTTGGTTTTGGTATTATGACATTCCAAAGAACTCATCACTTACAATATAATTTCCTTTCTCATATTACATAAATAAATTAGCAATTGACCCACATGGTCTTGCTTAAACTCTGTTTCACCCTATTTTTAATGATTTTGTTCCTTCAGTGAAAAGCAAACATTTGAAGCTAAAGCTGCCCCAAACTGATTTTTTAAAAAATTTTTCCATGAGTATCTATTTCTGACATCTTCTTTATTGCACCTCATTGAAATAGAACATCTCACATGGCTCTTCTAACTATGCACACTGAGTTTGAACTTTATTAATTTTTAGCTAATTAATTACTAAATATAAAAGTAAATAAAAACAATTACTTATTAAACTTTTATAGCAATATGGTTTAAAATATAGGAAAGACACAACAGATAACAAATAAAATGTCAAATTCCTTGAAGGCAGGAATTAGCACTAGAATCAAAGGCTAAGTGGTTGTTGAGTGGTTTGCAGACTATAGGAAAATGTAGGAGACTTTACTACTGCTCTGTAGTCCAATGTCCCTGCCTTTCAGAGAACTCTGCTTTTGGAGAAATTTCAAAGGCATTGAAAAAGAGACTTCACAACATCAGTGTTTGCCACCCCCACATTAAAACTGTTATACATGTATATGTCCATCTATATATATATAGTTGCTGTGTGCCTTTGAATTGATTCTGATTCCTGGTGACTCTATAAGAGAAAGTAAGGATCTCTGGTAGCATAATTGTTAAAGCATTTGGCTGTAACCGAAAGATCGGTGGTTTGAACCCACCAGCATAGTGCCTAAGGCACTTCACTGCTAACCAGAAGGCCGGCAGTTCAAACCCACCAGCCACTTCTTGGAAGGAAGGTTAGGCAATCTACTTCCATAGTGATATTGCCTCGGAAACCCAAGGAGGGGTCGCTGTGAGTCAGGTCTGACTCGACGGCACATAACAACAAGAACAGCTGCTTGACAGGAGAAAGATGAGTCAGTCTGCTCTGTAAAGATTTACAGCCTTGGAAACCCTCTGGGGCAGTTCTATTCTGTCTTAAAGGGTTGCTATAAGTCAGAATTGACTTCATGCCAGTGGATTTTGGCCCTTCAGGAATCTTTATGGGAGCAGATTGCAGGTCTTTCTCCTGCAGAGCTGCTGGTGTGTACCAACCACTGATCTTTGGGTTAGTGGCCAAGTGCTTAACCCTTGCACCATGACATTAACATACCATAACATAATATGTTACATCATTAACATAGCAAAGAAACCTCTATTCCCAAACAGGATTAAATCCACAGGTAGAGGGGTTAGGACTCCAGCTCATATTTCGGAGGATGACAGTTCAGTCCATGGCCCCCTCTCTCACCACTTTCCCCCATGATGTACTTTCTTCTCTTCTACCTCTTTTGTCCATCCCATTTAACCTTCTGTACAATTCTTCCTTTTCCAAATTAACAATATTTGTGCTGTTTTTAAGTTTCTAATATTTTAGTGTCATCTTAGTACTTCAGTTTTGCTTTTAGATTCACATATTTCTCGATTTACTTTAAATAATTAATTTATTTTGATCATGTTCTGGAAGTCAGCACAGCTGTGACATGGCTGAAGTTGTTCCACAGCTTTGGAAAGAAACTCCAGAAGGCTATTTTGGAATAATGATAACATACTGCTTCAGTGGAGATCCATGCCAGTGGCTCAGCCTTGCAAAGAAATACATTAACAATCCATTGCTTATATGCTCAACTCATCCTGCTGCAATTTTGATGTTTTTTTTTTTTTTTCCTGGTAGAACTAGAATTAATTTTGCATTTATGGGAGGAAAGTCCTCAAAGAGTTTCTATTCTGTCTGCCTTCCAGAGGAATTCCTGCCTGCCAGGGTGGGCTTCATGGAGATGTATGTCTTTCTTGGAGGGAATAATGACTGTATTCAGAGGAAGGGAGCCAGCCCTCAGGATCCAGATGATACCAGTGAAGGGGGTTAGGGAAGGATATGAGCTTATACTGAGGCAAGAGCGCCAGTTCACATTTACTCAGCTCAAGAACCGTATTCCACAGAGAGGAACGGTTCTGGACACTGTGCAGAGTATAGTGTGTAGTCTGTCTCTTCTGACTTCACCCAAGGTAACGGCTTCTGAAAAAGAGTGGAGTGGATTTTATTCTTAATTTTATGTCACATTTTGCTTGTATTATTAACTATACTCATTTATTCATTTGCTCAGATGTATTTACTGAGTATTTACTATGTTCCACTCACTGTGTAGACTGGGATCAGTATGGAGAGTAAGAGACGCAGGTCCTGTTTTAATAGTGCTTTTGTCTAATGTAGCATTTCAGCGACTACAGCCCAGGATTGCCTCCTTCCGAATCTCTGTGGTGCTTAGAGTGTACCACTGAGTTTCAGAAACAGAATCTTTGTGAAGCTACAGACCCTGCATCTAAGCAAGCATTCCATAGGATTCTTAAACAGGTTAAAGTTTGAGTATTACTAGACTTGTGCATGGGAGCACTGGTAGCATAGTGCCTAAGGCACTTGACTGCTAACCAGAAGGCTGGCAGTTCAAACCACCAGCCATTCCTCGGAAGGAAGATGGGGCAATCTACTTCCGTAGTGATACTGCCTCGGAAACCCAAGGAGGGGTCACTATGACTCAGGTCCAATCGACGGCACATAACAACAACAACAGACTTGTTCATTATTGTGATCCTGATTTTGATGTGTGCATGTGTGTCTCTGTACATATGTGTATGGGCACATATCTCTGTGTCCAAATGTGTTGCATCTTAACAGATTATGGGCTTCCTGAGAACAGAGTTTTTGATGTCTTTTTTTTCTTTTTCTGTGGCCAACCCAGTTTCTGCTGTGACACAGTAAAACTTAAAAGGAGTACTTGTTCAGTAGATGTATATATAATAATGAATGCATTTTTTGTATTCTTCTCTGATGGGTGGACATTCAATGACATTTTCTCTATAACTGATGTTTTAATATAGTTGGTTTTCTATATGGTTTAAGTTGTTCAATGACCAGCTTCATAAGTAATTTTCTACAAGAAAGGGATTGAGAAGGACATATTTACCAAGTCATTGCTTTTACTAAACTGTATTTAAAACAGTTTCAAGTATAGCACTTTAAGCCGTCTTTAAAGTTTAACCTTCCTTCAGTTTCTTTAAGAAAATAAATTCATTTGTAGAAAATTAGGAAAGATACTTGCTCTTCAAAGAGATACATGCTGAGAAACATACTTATCTTTCTTGTGGTCTTATAGAGGTTCATTCTAAAAAATAGACAATTTGTTGTTTTGACAACCACTTTATTTTCTGATAGGTTGCTAATATAATTTAAGTCAGGTTTTTTTTAAAAAAATGAAAGCAACCAATTCTTGCCTAATATTGGCAGGATTGTAAAGCATTCCTTCCCCCTAAGTTATCCTCCCATTGCCTATTCCTAAAGCAGACAGATATACAGATGAATTTTGAGATAGACTCCTCAGAAGAGTTGCAAAGACAGAAAGCTAAGAGCTGATGAGAGGATTCCTTGCCCACACCAAGGGTATAAGAGCATTAAGAGTGAAGTTGATTAGATTTGTGACGAGGATTTCTAGACAGAGCCTAGCGAGAAAGGGTTCAATGGAATCACGCAAAGGGCTTGGTATGTGTCTAGTACAGTTGGGACACACAGTTGGGGCCAGCTGTTTGGCTGCCGACAGGCAAGTCAAAGGAGAGATAGTAGCTGTCCTGCAATTCCAGAGTTTGTCAGAACAGTGAATGTGTGTGTTTCCCAAGGATCAGCATGGGCTACTCAAAACTGAGAGGCAGCATGGGGTCCTATTAGGCCCTGTCCATAGAATCTCCTGGAAGTGAACAGAAGCCTTAGAAGAGAGGAGCAAAGAGCTTCCTGATTCCTAGAGACTGCAGTAGTGAGGTGTTTTCACCCAGATCAAGGATGTAGGTGAGATATCACAGCAAAGGGAGCTCTTCAAAGAACTCACAAGAACGTTGTAAATATTTGTTA